GATTTTGTTTTGATGCTGGCATCTAGGCCTCTGGGTTTGTGATGATTATAGATCTTGGTGTTGACTTCTGAATTTGTTCCTGTCTGATGGGTTTTTATTCCTTGCTTTTTGTTTCCTCCCTGGACTTTTGGAGAGTGTGATGGCTGTGTGCTGCCTGTTTTTCTGGCCTGTGTTTTCAGGGAACACCTGTGTTGGGGTTTGAGGCTCAGATACTGGCTTTCTGGCAGACGTGGCCTGCAGGTTAGCAGGGAGTGCTGCTGAAATTGAGAGCTGGATAAAAGCAATGGATGGATGAAGGAGGTTAGAGAGGTAAGATCTGTGGGATCCAGAGCAGATGGAAGGGGGCATTTGGGGGGGGGGTAGTAAAGGCTGCCACAGGTGTTTTGCTGCAGAGTTAGGCATGAGACGGTGGGATTGGATCTGGGAGAATAGAAAAAAAAAAGGAGATGCTTTTGAATAGGGAAGACAAAGAAAATAATTGCAACATTGAATGACAATAATGGGAACAAAGAAGTGAATGGGATGCTTCAGAAACAAGTGGCTTTAGAATGTCCACTCTGAGGACTTTCTTTAAAGAAAACAATAACATACTTGATGTGGGGAAGAGAAGTTGGTGTATAAGAATGAACATGAGCGCATGTCCTATATTGGAGAAAAACGTAGGCAACTGAAGGCCATAATGTGGCTGAATGTTGGCTATGAAGAGAGCAATGCTGAACATGGGAGCAGGTTTGAATATTAGAAGATTCAGACTAGACTGTTTCTCGGCTTTTAGGTTATGACACAAGTCAATTGGAAGAAGGGGAAATCGTAAAGTATTTTATAGTTTAAGGTGAGAGTTATGGAGGAATAACATTGAAATCTGTCAAATGAGGAAAGTCAGGAGGAAGGATATATTTAAGAGGGAAACAGAATTTCAGATATGTAATATGTGACAAACCCATTGGATTATCAAGTGGAGCCACAGAGTGGACATTTGGATTGATGGATCTGGAGTTCAAGTGATGAGTCAAAAGTGGATGGAGTTATTCATGATGTTAAAGCTCGATACCCATTCCAGTGTGGATACTTTTAGTGTCAGACCTGTGACTTTGATGCAAAGAGTAAAAGAAGGAAGGAGAAATGGTCTAAGTCAAGTCGCATTTGCAAGTTTCTCTTCTCTCGGTAGCTAATAAAAGAGGTAGACAAAGGAGCGTAAGAAACTGAATGAGATTTGAACAAACTGCATCAACAGTGCAGGAGATATATAGAACAATGCTTTTAATAAATGCAAAATAAGTACTCATTATACTTCACAAACACTGACCATGTGGCAGGAGAGAGACAGGACATCAGGGTCAACACATGAAAGAAGATAGCTAACAATAAAATCTGGAACGCTTTCTCACCTAAGCTGTAGTAGCAAAGGGAACATTCCTATGAAACGCTTGTATCCACAAACAAGGAGGAGCAAATGCAGAGTAAATAAAGATGTGAGCTTGGTGACTCGGTGCTTTTGGAATTTTTCCCTAGATCACTAGCCCACTTCCATTCTCAGAGGTGCCTTTCTGTTTCTTAATGAACTGTCTCTGTTTCTATTATCTCGCTGTGTGTCCCTGGGACTATTCTTTGCCCCCAGAATATTTGGCAAGTGTCCCCTTCACTCAAAATGTCCATGAACGTTTCTTTCTGCTTTAACAAAGACATCCAACAAAGAGCAGTGACAATAAATGAGCACCTTTTCCCTTTTCCTGTCTTTCTTTTCTTCCCACAACTCAAGTGATCAGGAGCCCTTAAATAGCCAGGCTTGCCTAAGGAAGCATGGGTCCCACAGGCAAATTATGTTGCCATTGTCACAGGACCACTGACAAGCCAGTGTGGCAATACTCGGGCAGCAGCATGGGTCCGCAGTGCCATTGGTTCTGTAGGGCAACAACATTTTCTCTTTCCATCACTTTTTCTCACACCACCAATCTTCTTTTCAGCCTTCCAGAGGCCAGTCAGGATGACAGGAAATGGCAGAATCAGACATGCCTCCAGTGCCACAGGTAATGTGGTAGCTTACTGTCACCTACAACAACCAATGGCTCTGCATGTTGACCTGGCCAGGTGGAACTTAATTAACTCTGCTCATAATTTCACACTGCTATGATTTGTTTATTTCTGTTTTAGCACCCTCTAACTGCCCTCAAGCTCCCTGCTCCACTTACTGTAGACATTACTGCCATAGAAGAGTACAGAGCTGACTCCCCAGGGACAAGCACATTTCCTTGACCATTAGAACTATAGCAGGGAAGTTATGCCTGCTTAGAGGGTTAACCTGAATGGCAATTTAAAGCAAACAAGCCTTCCACATAAACAAGCATCCTCTCTGAATCTAGCAGCCAAAAAGTTTGGGCTTTTTAAAATATATTTATCTTAGTTGGTGCTCTGTTGCTGTGATGAGACACCATGACCACAGCAACTCATATAAAGGAAAGCATTTAATTGGGGCTGGCTTACTGTTTCAGAGAGTTAGTCCATTATCATCATGGTGGGGAAGAATGATGGTACAGAGGCAGACATGGTACTGCAGAAGCATCTGAGACTTCTAGATCCATATCTGCAGACAGCTGGAGGAGAGAGTGCCACTGAGCCAGGATTGAGCTTCTAAAACCTCAAAATCTATCTCTAGTGACACACTTCCTCCAACAAAGCCACACCTCCTAATTGTTTCAAGTATTGTCAAGTATTGATCATGTATTCAAATCTATGAGCCCATGCGGGGCATTCTTATCAACTACCGCATTTCACTCCCTGCCCCCCATAGACTTGTTACCATATCATAATGTAGAAATGAATTCGATCCAACTTTAAAAATCCCCATAGTTTATCATAGTCTCAACATACACACACACTCACTCTCAAAGTTCAAAGTCTTTTCTGAGGCTCAAAGCAATTTCTTAACTGTAACCCCATGTAATCATAATGAAGATGACATACTTCTAATATATAATAGTACCAAATATATAGTATCATTCCAAATGGGAGGAAAGGGAACATAGTGAGGAAATACTGGACTAAAGCCAACCAGGCAAACTTCAAACTTTGTATCTCCAATGATGATGTTAAAGTTCTAGAGATTTCCAACTTTTTTCAGTTTTGTTAACTGCAACATACTCCTCTCTCTGGGGCTTATTTCACAACCACCCAGTGTGCAGCTCTCTTTGGCTGATATCTCATGGCCAGCCATCTCCAGATGCCATTCGGGGTCTCAAGTTCAATCCAGGCTTCATCTTCATAACTTTATGCAATGGCCTCTCTGGGTCTTCATGCAGGACACTTCTGACACAAGCTTGTCCTCAGCAGCTTTTTTTTTTTTTAGCCATGGAGAGAATTTCCACAACCAGTTCCTTGTATCCTTGACTCTAAAGCTAGAACCACATGGCCAAAGCCGCCAAGTTCTGCTGTTTGATGGGGAACTTGGCTTCTTCATTCAAATATGTTTTCATCACCTTTCTTTTTTCTATAGTTTCCTTCACTGTTTAAGATTTCCTTTGATTCATTTGTATAAATTGGAAGTTTAGCTGTGAGGGTTTTTGCCCTGATGATACTACACTCCCTTTATTCCATTTAACATAAGACTTTTCTTAAACTTTTATCTCTGTGAGCCCTAGACTTAGTTCCGTTATACTTCCTGATGTTCCTTTTCTCCACAAGCTGTACATTATGTATTTTTCCTTACTCCACTTTCTCCTTTTTATTATAGATTTGTTGGCCATTAATAACCACATGATATAGTCAACACTAGACTGACTGTCTTGAAATCTCTTCTGCCAAGCCATTAGTCCAAAATTCTTAAGTTTAGCTGCAGGCAGATATTTTTGGACAAAGGCTGAAAATGGTCACATTCTTTCTTAAAATATTACAAGAATAGTCTCTAGGCCATGGACTAATATTATTCTTCCTGAAACCTGTTGACCTGAACTGTGATAATCTTCATTGCTTTCAGAACTACTGTCTTCCACATTCCAACTAGTATGACCTATTAATCCTTGTTTAAAGCATTCAACTACTTTACGAATCTAATGTCCCAAAGTTCATATTCCCTCAACAAGAGGCATGGCCAGGCCTGTGATAACAGTGCCCTGTTCCTTGGCAGCAGCTTCTGTCTTAGTGTTCTATTGCTTTGAGGAGACATAATGACCACAGCAACTTTTATAAAGGGAAACATTTTAATTGGGAATGGCTTACAGTTTCAGAGGTTTAGTCCATTGATATTGCAGTAGGGAGAATTGTGGTATACAGCAGACCTAATGCTGGAGAATTAGCCAAAAGTTCTACATTCAAATTTGCAGTCATCAGGAAGAGAGTGCCCCTGGATCTGACTTGGGCTCTTGAAACCTCAAAGTCCACCTTCCGTGACACACTTCCTCCAACAAAGTTACACCTCCTAATTGTTTCAAATAGTGTCACTCCCCAGAGATCAAGTACTCAAGCCTATGAGCTTATGAAGAAATTCTTACCAAATCACATTTCTTTATTTTCTTACCTCTTTTCTTCTGCAACTTAAAAGTTTTATTAATTCAATTTTTGAGAATTTAATGTATGAGTACTGCATTTACATCATTTCCTTCTACCTCATCCATCTAATTCCTCCCATATTCCCCAACTCTAATGACCATTAATTCTTTAATTATTATTGTTTTACACACACACACACACACACACACATACACACACACAGAGAGAGAGAGAGAGAGAGAGAGAGAGAGAGAGAGAGATATGCACACACACACAAAATCTTATGAGCATAGTTTCCCTGTGTGTGTGTTTCTATTGCTGTGGTAAGACACCATGAGCAGAAACAATTTGGTGCAGAAAGGGTTTAGTTCAGTCTATAGCACTCCATTCCTAAGGGAAGACAGGACAAGAAATCAAACTGGGCAAGAACCTGGAGGCAGGAGGTGGTGGAGAAGCCTACGAGGGGTACTACTAACTGCATTTCTCCCTCATGACTTACCCAGTCTTCTTTCTTATAGGGCCCAGGACTGCCAGTCCAGGGATGGAATCACAAACGAAGGGCCGGGTATTCCCACATCAATTGCTAATTAAAGAGGTGCACTACACAGGACACCTTCCCTACAGGACAATTGAGTGGAGGTATCTTAATCGAAAGTTGCTCTTCCTCAAATGATACTACCTTGTCTAATGGATGTAAAACTAGCAAGTGCAACATATATGTTTATGAATACTCATATGTATTTCTCACATGCCCTTGTGTTTAGGCCTAACCAGCCAGGATTGGATAATCAGAAGGTTCATCCAGAAGAAGACTAATTTTCCCGCCTCAGTATCCATTAATCGACTATAATGCTTCATCTAGGTGTAGGGCCTTGTGAGATTTCCCTCATCTGTGCTGGCATGTTAATTGATATCGTCTTTTTCCAAATCTTGTTTAGGAAACTATATTGTTGAGATTTCATGAGTGCAGTGTCCTGTAATGTCTGCAAGATACTGTTTTGAGGCAGAAGTCCTGGTAGTCTGGTTCTTACAAACGTTTCAAATTTATTTATTTTAAAGTGCTTCATAGGAGAACGCTGTTGTTTGACTGAGGTGAAAGAAGGAAGCTTAGTGGTACTCATAGAAGGTAATTAAATCTTGGGTGTGACTAATTGGCAATTAATTAACTCAAACCAGGGAAAGGGTAAGTGGAGTAATGTTAGTGACCCAAACTAGTGTTTCTGACTCATCTTATAATCAGATCCATCTAACAATGTTTGGGTTGAAGTTATGAGGAAGAGAGCTTGAACCCTTCAGATATTCTTGAGGACTCTGAAAATAATTGGCAGGGATGCAAGTCTGTGTCCAGAGGCCCTGGTATGTTTCCCTACTCGATGTTCCATAGATTATCGCATGCTATGATACAGCCTCAGGGATTTTTATAAGGTTGATCCTGAGACTTTAGAGAAAAAGGAATATATTTTACTGTAGCTCTCCCTGACCCCAGCACAAGCAAGGCAGAAGAAAAGTTTGACCAAAGGTTGATAGGTTAAATTATAATATCATCCCTACAACTGGGTCTATTCTGTAGGAATCAAGGGAATGATCTAAGGCAATGTATGTAAGGCCCTTATAGCTCTCTGTGATGATAGTAGCATACAAAGAAAATCCAAAAGTAAGAACCTGAGATGTTTTAGATGCTCTTTGCCTGTATCCAAACTCAGCTTTTCAAACAGTAAATAACTGTCAACAAGAATCAGATAAAGTAGGTTGTTTCACTCCTCAGAGATCCACCCACTTCCACATTCTCCCATTTATCCAAAGTAATCAAAAGGGAAGGCAATAAGTCTTGTGGAGAACATAGCTATGGCACTTTGTCACCTGTCTATTCTTTTTTTTTTTTTTTTTGGAGGAACCACACATAACATTTATATTCAGGATGGTAGCACTAGTAGTTTTGCTTCAATACAAAGTATGCTAGAGAACGTGTGAACTTCACACGTAGGCATGTATTTGAAATCTTCATTATCTGGACACAGATCTTGATAGTGAATCTCTTGATGATAGATATGTAGCTAATTTATCCCGGAACTCATGAAGATAATTATATTGCTTGATGGTCTGTATGGCCCCAGATCCCCTGACATCTCGAAGGCTGTCTATGGCTTGCTGTGGTGATACTGAGTCAGACAAGTATAGGAGGAGACAAGCAGCTACAAGACAGGATTTTCCAAGTCCTCCATAGCAGTGTATCAGGGTTTTCCGGTGGTTTTTAAGGCAGGTGGCCAGCTCCTAACACCCCATTTAAAGGGAATGACTGGACTCCCAGAAAAAACTGGAGGCAACATTCCCTTTTCAAACAGGGATTCTCTACAAAGCAAGGAAAAACTAGAAAGCTATTCTGTAGACCTCCAGAACTTCACTGGGCAGCTACAACACATTAATGTGGTTATCCGAAATCTGATTCCTATCTTGATATTTTTCTGTACTCATGAGTTTCTGAAACCTCAAGTTCTTTGACCCTGTTGTCACTATAGGCTGTCGCTTTCCTGATACCTTCCAAATAGACTAAAGTACTTCCTTGTTCCAGACTGACAACTCTCTTTTTCTGTTTATGGCCTAATGACTTATCCTAGAACTTAATAACCCAAACAACAATCTTAATACAAAATTTTTAATAATTTAAAATTCTGAGGCTTCACCAACTCGGGTGTTAGACACTGTCTTCTCACTGGTCACCAACAGAGACCTAAAAGAAGGGACCAAAGCCTGACATGATCACTTTATAGAAGAACTGAAGGTGCCAATGAAAGATAAAAAATAAAAAGACAGCCCTACAGTGCCCCTAAGAGTTAGACTTATTCCCTCCAAAGATAAGCATAGATAAAACCATTTTATCTTGATGCACTTGTATCTTATATGTTCAGAACTATTCCAATTGTTTCCATGCCATTCTTTGTAAAGACAACATGACAAAATAAGGTGAATCTGGAGTTTAAAGTCTTTGACAACAGAAATTTACACTTAGAATGTGTTTATAAAACATGACTATAATTTAGGAGGACATACTGGTACACGTTGAAAAGTTTCTCTCTGAGATATTGAATAAAATACTATTTTTCACCAAAATAAGAACATATTGTTACTTTGTTTCATGTGTCTAGAATAAACTCAATGCCACAACCGACAGTAGCTTATGTAACTAAAAACCTAAGAACCATTTCATTCCTGAAGGAAGATTCACTGTGTCAAAACAGTTCAAAATATCTAAGAAAAGCATGAAGCTTCATAAGAGGTTAGATTAAGAAGGTAGCATTATTGGTGTGAACTTTAGAAAATCAAATAATGTAGTTTTTCACACTACCAGAATAAGGAAGAAAAAGAATGTGATCATTGAAATAGGTAAAAAGTTGGTGATAAGATTTAATACCTATTCATCTTTGAAGTCTTTTTGTGCTAGGAATATAAAAGGATCATGTTGATCTGGTTAAAGTTATCCATAAAGAGAATTCTTCCATACATCATACATAAGGGCAGCATGGAGACAATAAACAGTATAAAGTATATAGCACTACAGTATTACATAATACCGGATAGTATTATATAACAATGAAGACCTAATAGGCCAGAGAAATAATAAACAACTACATTTAGATGTACTCATAGTATTCCTGACTATAGTAAAGGAGGAAGTAAAGCATATTTAAAAAAGGTTTTTTGTATAAAGGGTGATGCACCAGTTGGACATCAAGAAGGACAAAATGAAATTTAACTACTATTTTGCATCTAATAGAAAAACAGATTTCAAAAAGCAGTAATATTTATATAGCTCATAAGAAAATAATTCTTATAGAATATATTTATTTATTAGTGTAAAATGGGGTTGAAAATAACAAGTTTTGTAACTATAACAAAATGTTGAAAAAAAATCTATGTTAATAGTAAACTTCTGCTTCTAAATTTTTGCATTCTTAGAGTTTTTTTTAAAGCAGCGCCTATAAAAATATACTTGTGATGGTTTACCTTTTCCATTTGCCTGGATGTACAATCAAAAACTGAGCTGCTGTGGCAGCTCCAGCTGTTCTGGAACTCGTTCTGTAGACCATGCTGGTCTCGAACTCACTGAGATCACCTGCTTCTGCCTCCCTAGTGCTGGGATTAAAGGTGTATGATTTTCTTGACCTGATTATTTGAATTGTTTGAGGTACAATGACTAACCCTAAATGTGGGCTGTTTCTGCCTATGTAAATGCAGACAAAAGAAATTCAAAAGAAAATCTTTACCGCATTTTCTTTGCTCATCCTGAAAAGATTAATCTGTCCTGGTGCTGCTGTTGCTGCTGATGCTGATGCTTTTCTTTGCTGAGAGCAGACCCAGCTTTATCTGGCTTTCAATGTGGATTGAAGAGTTGCAGGTTTCTAGGAATTTGCTATGCCTTCAGTGCCAAAGAGGGACTACTGGACCCAGCCTCATGAACTGAGAAGCCACTGGTTTCTTGGCTTCTGTAGTGCTAAGCAGCCATTGTTGGACTACCCACACTACAGCAGAAAATCCAATGTAATAAATCCCCTTTGAATTATATTGATTCTACAGACTTTGTTACTCTAGAGAGCCTTAAATCAGTAGTCATATACAAAATGTTTATCTATCTTTATCAAATCCATAATGAAAATTAATTGACTACCCAGTAGAAAGCAGAGAAGGGACCTAAGGAGTACTTTATCAAAGCCTGTCCATTTGCCTTAGAAATATATATTTAAAGTACTTATGATTGTGAGTGTAATCAAAGAAAATGTAATCATATGTAATATAACATTTTACCAAACCAAATGACCATTGGGAAAAAAAAATCTCAGCACTTAGAAATTGGAGGGAGAAGGATCATGAGTTCAGTACTAGCTCAGGTTTGTCTCAACCAAGATCTTTTCTCAAAAAAAAAAAAAAATCACCAAACAGTTTTACTTCTTACAGAGGATTAATCTCTAGAATGCGGAAAAAGCTAGTAAGGGGAAGTTTGTAGGAGTTGGAGTTTGGTGAGAAGAAAAGGGAAATAAAAGAGGGTAAGGTCCTGAATGTTATCAGAATATATTATGTATATGTATGAAATTATCAATGAATAAATTAGTAAAAGAAAACAACACCAAACTCAAGCAAAACCTCTAGTATTTCTAAGTAGTAGTAAATATGACGTGGAATTGACGGAATTGACTCCTACCAGTAGGAAATTAAGTTTCTGTCAATATTTTGGAAAACATTTGTCATTGTCAAGTAAGGTCCATGCTTCACATTTGTGTATCTAGCTAGACCCAAATAAGTGTCTAAAGATGTGTACAAGGAATATATGCAAGAATGCAAGAGTGCTCTGAGTGATGTTATTTATAATGATTCTAAAATAGAAACAACCCAATGCCCATCAAAAATAGAATGATTAAACAGATATCTGCTCCTATATGTAAGACTTTTTTTTTTTTTAGCCAGCAGTAATCTATAAATTACAGCTTTCTGTTACAACAGGGAAGATTTTACAGCACTAATGTTTTGACAGAAAGAAGTTACACACAAATAATTTCATACTTGTCTTAATTACTTTTAAATTGCTGTGAAGAAACACCATAACCAAGACAACTTATAAAGGAAAGCATTTAATTAAGAGCTTGCTT